CCTCTTTCCTGGCAGCAATGAGTCTTCTGCTGCCCATGGGAGCAGTACCTGTCCCTGCACCTGCACCACTTCTTCTAACATCAGAAGTAGCCACCAGCAGTAGAATGACAGTCTCCGGCACCCCAGCTTCATCTGCCAGCATGAGCCTTTCAGTGGCAGAGGAGGAGCTGGATCTGGAACCTGGGGACCTAAGCAACCTAGCAAAAGAAATTCTGGGGACCGAGGGGGAATCTGAGTTGGTGCTCCACACCCATCAGAGTTCCCCTAGAGCCAGGTCTCCTCCGGTAGGTACCTCGGAGGAGGTTGAGGTTGTGGAGACAAGTGGCTCAGCTGAGTCGGCTCCTCCTGTTGTTGTGTCTCAGCCTGCTGAGGAGTGAAGGATAAGGCAGGATCCCACTCTCAACCCAGAAGCTGGCGGGGTAGTGTAGTGTGGGGTCATTTTGAGGTGGCAGATGACTCCAAGTAAACTGTCTGCCAGCACTGCTGAAGGCAGATCAGCCGGGGCAAGGAGGTGAAACACTTTGCCACCATGGTGATGCTGCTGCATCTCAGGAGGCAGCACCCCCTTGCCCTTGTTCCTCCTCAGCCTGACACCAGTAGGAATCATAGAATCATGGAAGTAGGGTCGGAAGGGACCTTGTAGATCTTCAGGTCCAACCGCTCGCCTGGGTGGGAGAAAAACTGGACTTGGATGACTCCAGCCAGGTAGGCATCAAGCTTCTTCTTAAAGACCCCCAGGGTTACAAGCCAGCACCACTTCCCTTGGAAGTTGGTTGCAGCTCCTAGCCTCCCTAACTGTGAAGTAGTTCTTGTGGATGTCTAATCTAAACCTACTCTCCAATAATTTGTGTCCATTATTCCTTGTTATGCATGGGGGCGCTAGGGGAAACGGTGTCTCCCCCAAATCCGTCTGTTCCCTCCAGTGAGTTTATAGACAGTCACCAAGTCCCCCCTCAGCCTTCTCTTGTGAAGGCTGAACAGGTTCAGGTCCTGCAGTCTTTCATTGTAGGGTCTGCCCTGTTGTCCCCGGATCATGCGAGTGGCCCTCCTCTGGACCCTTTCAATGTTGTCCACATCCCTCCTGAAGTGGGGCACACAGAACTGGACGCAGTACTCCAGCTGTGGCCTGACCAGCGTCGCATAGGGGTGTGCCCAAAGGGAAGTCCCCCACTTGCTCCAAAGCCCCCATTCCCATGAAGCAGAGGCAGGACATCCTGGAGCAGTGGGAGAAAGCCACAGACAGAGGGGGGCATGTTGCAAGGGCGAGTGAGGTCACCCAGAGCATTGGGGAGATGCTTGTTCTGGACGGCGAGCCCTTCTCCTTAGTTGAGTGGCCAGGGTTCAGGCAGCTCATGGCACTCATGGCCCCATCCTACAAAGTGCCTGCATGCATCACCTTCAGCAGGATGGTGGTGCCCTCCCTGTATGAGGCATGCAGGGAGTACTTGAGGGAGGAGCTGTGCAAGGCAGGGCTGCAGGTAACCTTGCACTTCACCTCAGACATCTGGAGCAGCCAGGGTGGAGATCACGCCTACCTCTCCCTCACAGGGCACTGGTGCAATCAGTCAGGCTGTCAGTAGGCATTCCTTCAAGCCGAGGTGATGGATGAGTCCAACATGGCAAGGGAGATCATGATGGCCATGAACTGCATGGGGCAGGGGTGGCTCATTGGGCAGGGTGAGCTTACCTGTGGGTTCATTGTCACCGACAATGAGGCTAATATGTTGGCATCCACTGTGTGGCACACAAGCTGCACCTCATAGTCTGGGATGCCTTGGAGGGGGACAGGGCTGCCAGTGATGGCCCCATCACTACCACCCAGCTGATTTAAAAATGCAGGAAGGTGGCGGGCTACTTCCATGGCAGCATCAAGGGGGGCAAGATGCTGTGGGAGAAACAGGCAGAGCTGAGCATCCCGCAGCACAAAATTATGCAGGATGTGGAGATTTGGTGGAACTCCACATACTTGATTCGGCAAAGGCTGGTGGAGCAACAGAAGGCCATCCATGAGATGGCCTTGCTTGGGGAGATTGGGGTCAATGCCCCCCTTAACAAAGCGGCGTGGGATACCATCTCCCAGATCTCGGTGATCCCCAGGCTGTTCCTCGAGGCCACCGAGACCCTCCGTGCTGGTGATGTCTGCCTTAGCCAGGTGATCCCCTTAGTGAGGGAACTTGAGAACTAAATGGAGAAGTTCCAAGGGATCAGTGTTCCTGGATGGGGACAAGCCACTGTCATCAGATGTGCAGGCACTGGTGAGGTGACTGAAGGAAGGCATCAGGAAACAGCTGGATCCGTTGTGGTCCAGTACAGTTCACATGCTGGTGGACATGTGCAACCCAAGGGTGAAGGGACACGTGCACTGGCAGCACCAAAACCCTCGATCACTAGACGGAGGTGCTGGTGAACAGAGTCAGGGAGGCAGAAGGGCAGAGGCGAGGGGGCATGGAAGAGGGGGATCCACTTTCCTATACCAGCACTTCCAGCACCAGTCAGTCTCCTCCACACCAGCTGCTGCCAGTGTGGGCCAAGGACATGGTTTCAGTGTTGGAGTCCAAACACACCAGACCCCAGCCTTGGGCAGGTAGTGCCGAAGCTTCAGTGGCTACCTATCTTGCCAAAGATGTGGAGCCACTGGACTGCGACCCCTTGGCCTAATGAGCGGCCTGTAGCCAGATGTGGCAGGATCTGGCCACGATTGCCTGGGAACACGTACTCTGTCCACTGACCAGTGTTCAGCATTGCTGGGGATGTTGTGACACCCCACTGCACCTGCTTCAATCCTGGTTTGGTGGAGCAGCTGGTGTTCTTGAAGGCGAACTTCCTGCTGCTGGGGTTCCCCAAGCTCCAGGTGCAGACGGAGTAAGTGCCACCCTCATCACTCTGTCCGCACCTATTTCCTTTTTAAAACATTTAATGCCCTGCTCTCAGAGCTGGAGGCGGCCCTCATTGCATCCCCAGCCAGCAGGGGAAGAACATGTCCCTGCTGAGCTCCTGTGCCAGGATGAACTTTGAGGTGTGGGCTGGGGCTGTGGGGAAGGAGAAGGCCTCAAGTCTAGGCCTAACCACTAAAACTGCGCCCTGCCAGAGTTGGGATGCCTGGTGGGACTGCCAGTGGTGTGGCAGCCCCAGGAAATGCTAGGACCAAGGATCTCCCTGGTGAAAGGGAGGTAGGAGGTGCCATAACCTCCAGCCACCACGCGCAGAGACCTGTCATGTTTTTGATAGGCCTGAGGCTTGCTGGTTGCAGTGGAGTTGAAGCTCCAGGTGAGCTCAGCTTAGCTGCCTGGGATGCCATCTGCAAGGCATGGGCTTCTGGGTTTAAAACCCTTTGTCAGGCTGAGAAAGCATCTAGTTGGTGTGTGTGTGCTCTTCCTGGATGGAAGGAATAGTAAAGAAGCTAGAGGCTGGCATGCAGTGCAGGCAAGAAAGCCAGTCAGTGAAAATGGAAATGGAGGTGTCAGGAGGTGAGAGACAGGCTGGGATAGAGGGGAGGGGGGATGTAGCAGGTAAAAGAGGCACAGGCCCACTTGGGAGTGCACAAGTGAGATAATTCAGCATCGTTTCCTCCCATATTTCTTATTTCTATTGAGTATCCTTTAGATAATATCCTACAGATGTGTTTGAACTTTTCTGAATTAACTCATGAAAGCTGTATTTAATTTCTCACCCCTTTCTGTTGCTTCACTTGTGATCAAATATTCCAATATGATGCCCCCCACAGATATTGCTGATGTGCTCCTTTATCCCTAATGGTCTGGAAGAGAGAGTAAGCTCTGTCAAGTACCTTGTTAAATTACTGTTCATCAATGCTTTGAAACAGTCCAGTGGGTTTCAGTCACTGATGATTTTAGTCTTTGTTCCAAATAGAAATTCTAAGACAACTAGCCAGTTGCCTGTCAAGAATGACTGGCAGGGGTGGGGGCTGAGATGGAGTGCCGCCTCCTAACGCCCCATGCTGCTGCTGTTCTGCCTCTTGCAGGGAGCGGGGTGGGGAAGCCGAGGCCAGTAGCTCCCCCGCTCTGTCTGGTCCTCGGGGTGGCTTCGGAAACATGGTGGCACTCCCCCATGCTTGGAGAACTCTGATTGGCTGTTTCCATCAGCCAATCAGAGTGCAAATAAAGCATTACAGACAGACTTAGTCTTTTATAATATTAAAATTTATGAAAATAAAAATATTTTGAAGAGCAACTTTCTTTACTCTGTTACAAGGAAAAGGTAGCTGACTTAGCAAATAAAAACCTAGGATTCCAGACTAGCCCAGGGACTGACATGACACTTTGTTCGATGAGTGACAGAAAGGCTTTATTTACTACAAGTATTTAAAATCAAGTCAAGTGAGCCCAAACCAAATCAAGAGTCCAGTAATTAGCTATAAGGTGATGATTTCTCACCAAAAAGGTGACAAAGAGGCGGTCTGTTTCTCTTCAACTTTTCGAGTAAGTCGGGCACATCACCAACTGGTGTCAGAGAGATTTCTCACTCTTGAAGCGCACACACTGTTTGCTGTTTTACTGCTTTTTTTATACCCTTAGCTTAGCATCTTCAGAGCATTCTTTTAGGTGTGTAAATCAAGAGAGAGTCCCAAGCAGTAATTGACAGGAAAAACCTGCTCATTACTGGTTATCAGAAATTTCTAATTTGAATCAGTTACCTTCTTCAGTAACAAGAGGTTATCCAGGTTTGCAACATATCAGGAAACTGATTAACAGCCAGGAAAAAACATACTAAATCAGGAGGAGACATCTATTACATATGGAGAATGTCTCTTCCTGCACATAAACATGAGTTAGTCCCAAAATAAATATTTACCATACTAATTAAGGATAGACATTTCATATGGTTACATACCAGACAACTAAGAGTCTTCCTGAAATCATCCTGACTATAGCAATATAAGTTGGAAGAGATACTTCATTATTCCTTCTTAGATGGTCCAGCCATGAACTCGCATCCTCTTGCTAAATTATGCAGTTAGCATTATTATTCTGTATTTTAACTTTTGTGAGTAGGTCCAAGCTTAGCATGAGTTTCAGTCTCATCACTGACCCCAGTTGTGATAATCTTGTTTTCAGGTAATCACTCCCAGCAGCATACACCTTGAGAAAAGGGAATGTTGATATACAATTTTTTGAGTAACTCATCTGTTTCTCACTCAAGCCTTGAGTGATCAAGCAAGAATGAACTGTTTCTGGACATCAAGATTTTCTGAATTCTTTCGAACCCAGATCTTTTCTTGCTTATTCATTGTGATCTCAGTGGCACTCTTTGATGGAACAGAACAACATTTGGATCTGTACTGCATAATTCGGACTAAATGGAAAGTAACTTGTGGGTTTGTTTCCTTTTTGTCTTCTCTTAGTTGGTGAACACAAATGAGAACTTAAGCAAGAGTCGTAAGATCCTTCGTTCCATGTCCAGAAAGTGAGTAGCATGACTCAATTTACAACTTTTAATAAAAAAATAGAGCAGTACTACTTTCCAATAATCAGTCCTGGACAGGTTTGCTCTTTATTTTAAAATCTCAAAGAAGGATGCAGCCAGAAGACTGGTGCATGAATTCTTTCACTCAGTAGCTGAAAACAACCATTTCTGATAGAACACAGCATTAGTTTTATAACAGATAGTAATGTTGCACATCAATTTTGGACAGTAACATGGTAGTCTTTATTTAGCTGGAACTGGAGGGATTTAGGAGAAAAACATGTAACATATACATTTTTTTTCTGAATAAAGGGACTTGCACTTTCTCTTCTCTGCAAGTGCTGTGGAATCTTTTTTTTCAATGACTGCTCATAGAGTAATATAGTACCATATTTACTCAAATATAAGAGAACCCGAGTAATTAGATTCTATATATGGAAAAATTATAAATTTGATATAATTTTCCTAGTATAGAACCTATTTATTGAAGATTGGCCTTGAATTTATCCCCTTCCCACTGCTACAGCAGGGAAGAATTAAATCTGGGGAGTCAGGTAACCCCTTTGCCCTTCCCTTCCTGTCCCCACCCCAGCTTCTTTTCCCTGCAGCCCTTCCCCGCCCCCCTTTACTGTTAGACTCTGCTCTCCCTGAGCACATGGAAATGAGGGGGGAACTTGAAAACACTAACCTTGAAATAAAAATACCTGTAGTAATTTGCATATAGCCAAATTACTGTAGGTACCTATAGATTTAGCTCATCCAGAACTGCTATATTTTACCTTTTTTTGAAATTGCTGCAAGTTTTATTACAGGTACTCCATAAAGACTCTTTAAGCAGTTGTTCTTTGCAAACTATGCATGATATGAGTCCAAAGCCAAAAGGCTCATGATTTATCATATTGTTAATTGGGCTGGGCCCCAGCAGAGTCAACAGCATTTCAAGCCATTGTGATGCCATAGCTCGGCATTGCTCAGGATGTGTGTGTACTCCAGATACCCCCTTGTCCCACACAGGATCTGTGCTAATTAGCCTTTGCATTCATGACTGGATCCAGGTCATCTTGTTACAAGTCCTGGGATCCTCCAAAACTGTATATGCAGATGAGGTGCAGGGCAACCTGGTCTAGCTCCATCTCATGGAGGGTGGTGCCACACTAATCATATGCAGTAGGCTGAGAGAGGGGGCAGCAGAAGGATTCTGGGTGAACTGTTTGGGGCCCGATTGTATGGTGTTTGCCAGATAGTTAAGGCTGTGAAACAGGAATTACTGGAAATGGGGAAGAAACTGGAGATCTTCAAAAGGGATCTGGATGCGCACCTTGCTGGGGTTATGCCCAGAGTAGGGAAGCTGGACCTGATAATCTTACCAGGTCCTTCCCAGTCCTAAACTTTAATGAATCTGTGAAAGGTGCAGCTCAGCTGTGGGAGTGAAGATGAAGTCTAAATGTATGCAGTGTTGTGGCTCACCATTTCTTGAAAAAGAGTTAGTGCTGAGGGGGACTGCATGCAGTGGACAGTATCATGATTCTTATTCAGATAGCCTGCACTAAGTTCTCTTCATGGTTGGCTCCCATCAGTGTTTGCCCAGTATGGGGCATATGCTTTATAGTCATACTCAGTGTTGGCTGCATTTAATCAACTTCATAGTTGGTTTCCACTACTGAGCACACACCTACTTTTAGCAGCAGTTCAAAGATAAACAATTTATTTAATTAGGTTTCCTTGTACACAGCTATAAAGCAAAGGGCTCTCTTCCCTATGTTGATGGGAGGACACCTCATCTTCTTTTTGAGTAGAAATGGTAGTATACAAATTAACGATTCCTTGCTATTCTAAAATCTCCAGTGCACAATTGCTAGTTAGTACAGCAACATGACACAGTGCATACCAACTGCAAATGATGTATGTGATTGCATATGCTATAAACTGAGTTGAGACCACAGGAACATGAAATAGTTAATCAGACCAAGGAGACATTTATTCTGTTCACATGTTTAATAGTGACCAGTGCTTGTTGCAGGCTGGTTAGACCAAAGGAATGTGAGGGAAACTTTCTTCGTAGTTCCCATTTTGTCAGTAGTCTGCTAATAACCAGAGGTGTAAAGGTTGCTATCACTTAATAACAATTATCATCTTTAGATATGCTAGGGATGATTAAACCCTTAGTTGTTAACTCTCTTTCTGGCTTTGTTTGCCTCTAACTTCTATGAAAATACATTCTATGGGTGGCTTGTGCATTATAGCAGTTATTTCTATTTTTTTTATTTAAATTTTTGTTTTACTTTAACTTCTTCAAAGCAAATAGGTATTACTCCTATGGTTCTCACATAATTTTAAAACCTTTTAATGCTATCCATAAAATACCTTTCTTTGCCCCATTTTTTCATTAAGCTATTTTGGACCTGTATCCTTGAAGCAGGGTAACCAAGTATGAACACTCCTCATGGGAGAAGGTACCATATGTTTGTAGAACGGCATTCTCCTTTCCATTGTTTTTGCTTAAACGCTGGATTTTAACTACTTCTGCACATTGAACTGTCAAAAGTGTGTACTTGGTTCTTGTATATTATTACCTTTCTCACATGTGATGCCTGTTTGCTTAAGGAGAATCCAAATGAACTTAATCAAAACTAACCATCTGTACACTCAGTGCTGTTTCTTAGGAATAGTTCTGACAAGGGTCTTCAGAACACTACTTTCATCTTGTTTTAACTTTTTCTTAGCTAAATTTTTACCAAAAATTTTAAAGGTCCAAACTATCATGGATTTTGTTTACTAGTCTGGAGAGGTATTGACTTTTAAACAAGGTTTGGGGGAAAGGAGTTGACCCTTTCTATCCAAGACAACTTTTAACCTGGTACTAAACCAAAGCCGGCTACTAGTTTGATTTCCAATCTGTGTATTGCTGGAACTATGTTGCTCATGGATACACAGAAATAAAAATAAAAACTCAGGCTGGTGGGGAAGAGCAAAATTTGTGCGTTACTTAATATCTTGTTGCTTATGGAGCCACAGAGCTTTGGAACCATTGCCCTAGTTCCTTTTTCCAGATGGGTTCAGTGTAACTGCTCTAAAGCAGATTGTCAGGAGTCCCCACTATACTTAATTTTGCTTAAGAAGTTATACATGGTACGAAAAGAACTGAAGCTGAATGGCAAGACTCAGATTGTATGTTGACTTTTTAATGAGTTACAAAGTGGACTTCTGTTTACTGAGAAGGTAGCGGTGGAAATCAAAGGAGAGTCATGTGATATGCTGCTTAAGCTTCAGTAGTGATGCCTTTCAGGAAGACAGTCTTGTGCTAACCTCAAAGCAGTTAAGTGGTGACCCAGTAAATAACTTATCAGCTGCGATACAGATATGGTTTTAGATGTCTTGATCCTAAGCTCCCTTTCTCCCCCCCTCTAGAGTAACTACAAACAAGTTGCTGCTGTCTGTCATCATCATCCTGGAACTAGCCATCTTGGGAGGTGTGGTCTACTACAAGTTCTTCCGGAAAAGCTGAGCTTTCATGGCAGAGACTGGTTTTCATAACTGTCCATCAAGGATCATATGTTGACAGTGTAGCTGAGTTATTGGAAGGCAGTAGCTCCAGAAAAGTGGATGGGACAGCTCTTCCTAGTGAAGGGTCCTGTGATTGAACTGTCAGGTTTGACAGCACGCTCAAAATGAAACTGTACTAACTCTAGGCGGGCACCAAGTGATGGTAAAAGAGAAAATGCAGAGACACTGATTGAAGTCATGGTAAGACTAATAACAAAGGTAATAAATGTTTTATTACACATTCAATTTACATAATGTCTAAATGAATTAAAATTCAGTACATAATACAGCAGTTACTGATCAGCTGGAAAAACTACAGTTTTTTAAAACCTAAAAGTATTCCACTCTCCAAGTATCTGATACAGTCAGTCTTACTCAAGCTGCACAAGTGCCTTGGTAGAGCTTGGGAATGTCCAACACTTGAAGTCTTAAATCCTCACTTGCTCTTCACTTTCTGATTCATCTGGTGAACTAGGTGTTGGGAGTTCATCAAAAACAGTATGTGCCCCTTCCCTTGTTTGCCCAAAGCATGTTGCAATCACATCTACTGCAAGACTGGCTGTAGCCTTCACTTCCTCCTGAGAGGCTCCAAGCAGTGGGTTTACTTCTACCAGGTCAATTGCTGAAAGCATTCCTAAGGGCAAAGCAGAGATGACCATAATTAAACGACACAACAGAAAAGTCCCAACGAGGTTTTTCTAGACTTGGGGCAGCCTGCTAATGCTACAGGAATTCAAAGTATGAGGACCAGGGTAACACCTTGGGGAAAAACTAAAGTTCACTTGAAATACTAGGAGACCTCCTACAGTGCAGTTCAGCAGCACCATTTGTTTGCGCTTCTAGCACCTCAGTGCACACACACAGCCCTAGGCTCCCTCCTTCCAGTGGCTTTATTACTATTCAACAGTATTGTTAATACATCCTGCATAGCAACTGTGCTACACCTAAAACTTTCCCAAGGAGCAGTAATATCCCTGGACTACAGACCACTGCTGGAGACCTACATGATGGTATAGGCATACAGGCTTATAGGCCCACCCAACATTAAAAGGCTCTACCCCTGCAACTGTTACTATGATTATTTGTTATTGCAACTTGTTACTATGATGATGCTCAGTGCTACGAATAGAGAGTGTTACTGTGCGTGTCTGCAGGCTTAGGAAGATGGTAATGCTTCTAATAAAATTATTAAAATTCATAGAAACCAAAACTTTATAATGAGAAGGAGACTTTATCTAACTTCTTCTGGCCAGCCTAGGATGACTTTCTACTGCAGTAGGCCACACTCTGGCGTTAGCAATGGGATTAGCAATTGTAGTTCTGTATTTGGCAGTACATAGCCAGTTCTACTTTTGGACTAAGCTCTCTACTAGCTCATCTACTTACGTGAGCCCATGACCTAGTTTTGTTAAGGAGTACCAAATATACTGAGGTTACTTATAGTTTGACCCCATAGTATCAGTATAGAATTAATACAAATGCCTTGGAAGTGTCAGAAACAGACTTCTTACTATAAAGCTACAACCAAGTACTGTCTAGGTAGCTTCTTTGACAGCTGGGCTTAATCAAGCTAAATGCAGTAAATTTCTTCCTACCTGTATTGTGTATTTCCTCTGCAATATACATGCCTTCCCGATATGTTAATCCACCTAAAACAGGGGTTCCTGTTGCTGGAGCCAGCGAAGGATCAAAAGCATCAATGTCAAAGCTGAGGTGAATTGGTCTTTGTCTCCTGGTAGGAGGGGAAAGCAGGGAAAGGGAAAGGGAAGAGAGTCATGGCTTGTCTTGTGGTTTGGCTTTTTGTTTTTTCTGTGTAATTACTTACCACTGTTCTCTGTGGCCATGTCACCTTTAATTCATAGTATAGCAGACCATGTTCCATCGCAAAACATATTTATTATCAATAATTATTCTCAGCGGATATATTGGCAGAACAGTTAAGGTAGCTTGTTATAACTTCAGAAGCACTTGTTCAAACTTTCCTCCAGATGCATGCCCAGTCTACCATGTGAATAAGGACCTGATCACTTGGACTGGAGAGTCAAAGGCAGCTGGACATGTTTCCACATTAATTCATGTTCTCTCGGCTACAGTAGCTAGCATAATAATGCCATATGCAACAGGCCTCTAGGCTAAGGTGGGCCTTTTGACTTAGTCATTTCAATCTGCTAAGTTCCACACAGATACTAATACAGATTTGGGAAAGTGTGATGTAAATTAGTCAGACCTTGAGGGGATAGACTTCAGTTATGCTCTGTTGCTTCTACCTGGGCTCCCAGAGAACCATCCCAGTTCAGAGTGTTCTCCCACCCACCCATATGCCACAAAAGGGGGAACTCTGTCAGTTTGCAGAGTTCCCCCTTTTACATGTCTTGTTCATGTGGGGAAAAGAGCAAAAGGCAGCAAAGGAAGTCCTAGCCAAGTAGGGAGAGGGAGACAGGCCCTGGCTGTAGCAACAATAGTGAATTACATGATATTTTTCCAGTATGTCGAAGTCTATTGCTATGGAATCCTTGTATTTCTGGCTAAGATGAATGACCATGTCACATTAGAAATGTAGTTTCAGGCTATCTGTAGACTCTAGTGTCCCTGCTTTGGCAAATCATTAAAAAGCAAGTAAAAAAAAAAAGAGGACTCGAGTAAGTGAGATGCTGCAGTCACAGAACCTGGATACATGGGATGTTAAGTATGGCTTAGGAGGGCTTGAAAAGCTCACTTGAGTGAAAGCAATTGCCTCGGTTTACAAAAAGCTTAACATTTTAATAGTATGTAAAAGGTATGTGTATAGGCAGCCGTTAACAGCAAAACCAAACAGAGACTTTGTGCTAGGTAGTTCACAGGTTTGAGCAGCAAATGGAAATGATTTCCCTACATCCGATTCAGATCCTATTCCTTTAAAAAAAAGCTCTAGTAGCAGTATGGTATTGGATTAAAGAGGTAGGACATAGGAACTTCCTGAATAAGTCCCATGCTTGTAACAGCTCACAGTTCTTGTGGTTATTTGGTAAGTCATGGCAAGTGATTTCTTGTCACTTTTGTTTTTTTAAAAGAACTTTTACTAGAGTGACACTGGAAGTTTATGTAACTGCTACCCAGGTTGTGTGTGTATTCTGTTGACAGGATTGTTATCACTGGTGAAATGTAGTTAATTTATTTTTCCTTCTATTGAAATTAACTTTCCAGAAAAGCAAGTGCTGAAGCTCAAATGACTGGCAATTAGAGCAATTTAAATTTGTGTTGATTAGAGATTCCCTGGTGTGCTAACTAGTCATTAAGGAGTTTGTCTGATCTGACATACTTATACAGTTACCTGCCCATCAGGTGTTCAAAGGTTTTTTCCATAACTTTTTGGATTCCAAGGCGATCAATATCCCTCATTGAGAAATACTGGATGTCATAGTTCTTCAAAATATAGCTGTTAAAAATAAATTGTTTATCTTTAGTCCTGGCAATAGCCCACATCATGGATGTAGCTTTGTCCAATGGGAACATGCAATTTTAAGACTTGAGAAGAAACAGCCCACCAGCCCATAAATGTCTTGCACTTACTATTCAGCCGGATCCACATCCCTCAGACCTATGTATACAATATCAGGTGCTGAGAGGCAGGGCTTTAGCCAGGAAAACCCAGGAAGCTGTGGCATCTGCAAGCAGAAGGTGGATATACAGCTTTATAATTTGACTGTTGGGTGTTTGACAAGCCTGTGCTTAATATTCCCCAAATGTTCACTGTGAAGTGCTTTGCATCTCATTTATTCAGACTAAAATCTTTCCAAAGTGTAGTGTTTATTTGCAAATCAAATGCTTGGTACTAAACGCTGGTGACTGCATAATACTTTGGAGAGTGGGTACTGGACTAGAACCAAGGACTCCTATCTTAGGTCAGGTTTATTAGTAATTCACTACACAACTTAGCAAGTTACGTAAGCCTTCTGTGTTAATGTCACAGATGGATATACTACTAGCAAAATCTTTCAGACACTTTAAATATATGGATGAGAACCACAAGAAAGTCAGTGTCTGCCTCCTATACACACAGCTTTAAAGATTAATTAGATGGGACATGATATGCTATGAAGTGTCCTTGGAAACAAGACTTACTGTACATTAAGTGTTTAACTTCAAGTCAGACCACCATGAAGGAGTAAAGCAGTGGCATTAAGGTACAATAGATGAGCTGCCAGGGTCAAATCTAGTCATAAAGCACTTACGTAAGTTATACCCTCATCTAGTTCTAACCAAAGCCTTCAATTAACTGAGGAGGAGCAGCCAAAAGTGCCCTGGGGTAGGGGTGAGACTGGCAAGTTTGTGAGCAGAGGTGGGTGATGCTATTGTATGGGTTGAAAGTGTCTGGTGCTTTTTTCACCTGGGCCAGTTTTGTAACTGGAAGTGTTTTTTTTAATATAGAGGGAGACTAAATATCCCCTTTTGTACAAGGAGGGAAACAGCGTATGTCAGTGGTCTCCCACTCAGTGGTTTCTGGCTTGCACACACTCACCTTTTTCATGTCAATTTAATAAAGTTGATTGTCTGAAATACTGAGAGTTGACTTTATTCTGATCCAAAAACAACTGATCAGTGCTTTAGACAAACTGCAGTGTCTTTCTAGCATCTTTGGTGAGGCATGCAAAGCATCTTCAGATGCATGCAAATAACTGGCCCAAGGAATAGCAGGAGTCCAGAAAACAGCTATTCTTCCTCACCTGCCACATTTGTACAAGGCATCTTGGTGATGAGACAGATGGTACTTAATTCTACAAGTGACTCAGCATGAGTAACTGATGTCTGTAAGGATGGATGGGCAAACATAGTAGCGCTGAACTGCTTGTCCCTACAGGCAAGCTTGTAATGTCTTATTTATCTGGACTATAGAAGTAGCAGTGGAAATGTTTTTCTGTGCAAAGGCTAATGGGGAAATCTGTACCTTTTTAAGCCTACTGCACAGGGACAAAGCTAACTCAGTCCTGGGGGTGGGAGCAGATGGTAGGGATTACATATTTCTGGAAAGAGAAACAATTCCAGGACAAGCCCTTCCCCAGCCTTAACTAGGTTCAGAGGTCCATGGCCACATAAAAGATCTTGAAAAATGGATTTAAAAAAAAAAAAAAGTCCTAAGCAATGGAGGGGAGCAGGGCAAGTCTTAAAATCTGCAAGGTTAGGTAAGATATTACATATGCACATCTTCTATTTAAGCCTTTTCCACCTTATGTCCCAGTGACTAAAATAAAAGACTGTTCTCTCTTGCTGTGTGCGCATTCTGATTAGACTCCTGATAGGTACAACAGGAGCTAAAGCCCAGCCATGGCAGCTGAGGACATGAGGTTGGTAAGCAAGAGTGGATTGCAGCCTTCTACCCTAAGAGAAGTACAGATGCAGGCCTTTTACTTAGAAAGGGTGCACACAGAAAGGCTGAGTTAAGGGTCAGAGCCACAGCTAAGCCCAAGTTCTCATCACCGATGGTATTAGAAGTGTGCCTATTGGAGTGAGCACAGAGTTGGAAGTCGGGAACTCCTATATTGCGGTTGTAACCTTGAGTAAGACAACTTGTAGGACCATCCAGTACCCTACCCTTTTGAAGGGAAAAGGGATTAGTTTGTTGGAGAAGGCTGCAGTATGTAATAAACTACAGAATATGCATCAGACTTCTGAGAGCAAGACATGACCAGAGGGAACTTGTAAAACAGCTTTTAGAATCATCTGGAAGGAGGAAGAATAAGCTACCATCCAAGCATCGGCACAGCTGGTCTGTTCAACTGGGGTAAGTAAGAGACCTGTTCATATAGGATCCTTACTTTGGTAGTTCAGATGTACAGCCAAGCCAGCCAGAGTGAAGTTAAACTAGTACTACTGATTAAATCAGCAATATGTGTTAACAGTTAACGACAGACGATGACATTTCTTGCCCCAGTGGGAAATCATACTGTGGTCCAGTGGAGCAGAACAAAGATGCAGATCCCTTGCCAATTAGGCAGGCTAATGTGTGATAAGTTTCTGAAGTGTGAAACAACTGGTATTGCTACTTGTCACTATGTGCATTTACAGGTGGAAGAAGAGCACATCTTTCAAGGCTAGCCTGAGCTTTTCATGGGGCAGGGCAGGGCTAGACTGGTCCCTGTCTAAACCCTTTTCTGCTTCCTCTATTTCACACTACCTAAATTTAGGTTGTTCTTACATTCTTCTTACTTACAGACCCCAGAAGGCCATCATCAGTATTATCCTTTTGACAGCTTTCAAAACCTTGCTCTTTTGTCCCTCACAAAGGAAAAGTCCAGCTAGTTGAAAGAAAGCGTTTGGGAGGGACGGTTACCTAGAGAGGTGGTGGAATTGCCATCCCTGCAGGCTTTTAAGGCCCAGCTCAACAAAACCCTGGCTGGAATGATCGAGTTGGGGATGGTTCTGCTCAGGTTGGACTAGATGACCTCCTGAGGTTCCCTAGAAAATTAGGGTTGGAAGGAACAAGCTGTAGACCTTTTCTTTCCTATAGGAAAAAGCAAGTTTGAGATTTGCTTTTCTTCTTCTCCAGCTCAAAGACTTGCTTGACCTGTTCCTTTCCCACCTAGGCAGCTGTTGGCCCCTGGTCAAATGTGTCCTTTCCTCAGTGTTCTCCTCCTTGTGTCCTCCATGGAGTAGAGATGCCTCAAAGCTCTCAGAGGGTCATCTCTTCTGTGGGTAGGAGTTGGGTGTGTGTTTAAAGCTAGTACACCTAAAACAAAGGATTTCAACAACCAGAGGCCCTCACTGGTGCCCACATCCATCCTCTCAGGATGTCTTGGCATAGTTTTCTTCCCTTCTGATGCAAGGCATGTAGCAAGGAATATTAGTATCCTTCCTTAAGCCTCAGGCATAACCTCCAGCATGAGACAACCTCTGGCATGGAAGGTCAGTGCCCCCGATCCTTCATAACAGACTGCACTGGGTATGTGGCATGTCCAACCACATGTTGTTATAGAGGTTCTGGGCTACAGCTGAAGCAGATCAGTTATAAAGGCCTTAGGTCATCCTAATATTTAGTCTCTGATAGCAGCTGTGTACAGGTCAAAAGCTCTCGTTAAACTGACCCCTTTTAAAAAAAGGCAGAGGTTATCTTTTGGCAGACTTTTTACATCAAGCAGGCTCCAGCAATCCTGAGTTGCAACAGTGTAGCCAGTCAAGAGACACCATGCAGGACCTGCCCCTGACAGGCCTCAAAGTTGTCAAAAAATAGGGAGTAAGAAATACGTAAGCTATGAAGGGAGCAGCTACCAGCTGAGATATGCTCAGAACAGCTCTTCCAGGCTCCTGTTTTGGCTCATGTGACAAAATTGTTGCTCACATACTGTGACTGTCTTTTGGCTGGAAAAATACTAGGAGCCAGTGTCTAGCTGCTGGCTAGGAGCCTCTGCTCATCCATTAAGTGCTGACCTAGGATGGCCCAGGGTGAGCTAATGAGACATGAAGCTTCTCTCATTTAGGTTGGGCTCCAAGTCAAGCAGCCATTATATAAGATACTGCTCTCAATCTCGTTCCTGCTACTATGGGTATATCCAAAATAGCTATATTTAGGACCCCACCCCTTAACAAGAGCCTCAGAACCCAAGATTTAAACAAGGGACTACCTCTGCCCTGGAAGGATAGACTATCAGGAGACAAACAAAGTGCATTATGGGAGGGATTAGACATGCTGCCAGCATATCATCTCATTGGGAAATAAAGGGGGGCAGGGGATACAAGTCCGCCCCTTTCATCAGACTTGAAAATGAACAGTGCTGTGCAGTTAGGCCACCATACATGTAAAAAGTCAGAGCCACTTACTTTATCCTGGAGCTCTCGTAAGAGAAATGAGACGGGTTGTCCATGGAGGTTTCCAGACTGGGTTGTGAGCGGGGTATTAACATCAGCATGTGCGTCCACCCAGATCACACAGAGGTGTGGGCACTGTCGTGTATGGCCACTAATGGCACCAAGCGCCAAGCTAGAGAAGCAACAGAGCAAATCTGTACTCAGGTTGGGAATACATACATCCCCTCATGAACTCATTCAGAGTGACTGCAGTTCAGGTCACCCAGCAAGGTTGCCTTGTTTTATATAAAGCTGATGTTTGTGGTGAGGATGCCACAATGAGACCCACCATTACTACTGAGACCAGCATTTCTGGAACATTTTAAGGAACAAGAAGTAAACTGGTACTAGGAGATAGGGCTTGTCCCTTGTGCTGCTAAGCTCAAATGTATTTTTATATATGTAAAAAGGCAATAGGTCGCATGTTGCCTGACCTTGTGCATTTACCCTAAAAGGGCAGCTTCATTGTTTTTACCGTTGCCAAATTCTTTTGGAGTGTGCAATCAGTCAGTTCTGTAACTCTCCAAGATTATCTTTTTGTTGCCCCCTTCAGTACCTTGGTTCTCACAGGGTTAAAAATGCTATTTGACCACATGGTAAGTGCTACAGTGGAGGAAGATAAGATTTTCAGCACTGCAAAGACTAGGAGTGGCAGAGATTCACTGATGTGATCGCTTAAAGAACTTGGGTACAGGCTTTCAGTTACTTCTCTTCACTTGCAAGTAAAGCTGCCTGATCCAAGCCATGTGGCACTTCAGTAATGAAGGAGCCACCTTCTTTCTACCCCTGTTTAAGTCTCTATTTTGATTTACACTGCTAAAAAGATAGTGCCCTTGAGAGAAAGCAGGGTCAACCTGAAGAATAAGACAGATCAATGACACTGAATGCATCTCAGCTAACCTGTGGTCACCTCCTATGGTTACACAGCTGTGCCCAGCAGCCACTGCTCCACTTACAGCATCAGCCAGCACTTGGCTGGCTAATCCCACAGACCGTGGGTATTTTACCAGGTTGTTGTACAGCTCATCGTTAGGCACCTGAGTAAAATTCAGATCTCCAAAATCATATACTCGGCAGCCTGAAAAAAAGAGCAAAAAACACAAAAGGGATGGGGAGTTCATCTTGGATTCAAGTACCCAAACAGGCATTCAAAATACAGTCCTCTCCAAGTTTAATTGGGCAAATAAACAATATGAATGTGTGATGTAGACTGAATGACTAAAGTGAATTAGTTGGTTCTCAAGAGCATGTAAGTGGCTACCCTTGAAACATCTTATAGCCTCAAGGTTATAGAGCTCAGGGTAATATCCCCATGCCCACATGTACAGATATAAATAGATTAACCAGTAAAATCTTATCTGGAAAGGGAAGGGGGGAAAATAAGGAAATGCAAGTTACCCAAATTTGACATGGAATTAATCCACATATGCTCTCTTATCAACCTAGTCCATATTTGTACCACTGCCAGATCCTGGCTAAGATCAAAAGTACCAAAGCCATCACAAAGGCAGCTGTTCTTATGGCTTTTTCCAGTCACCTACAAGCAGGATGTACCAACAGTCTGGTAGAAGACACTATTAATTTGTCTTCATGAAAACAAAGAGAAATTGTTTTACTTTAGATTCTGTGATGCTGCCTAATTTCCAGCTTGCTAGGGGAACATAATCTATAGGCTATATCAATCAGGCTCAGGCTGTTTGAGGCCTGAGAAAGAGAAGACAACATATTGGCAGATACCAGTTTTGAGAACAGATATGCCTCTATTTCACAAAGGTTGCAAAATATTCTCCCCTGTGGTTCATGCTCTTTAGCCTACTACAGATTGTCAGGCTGCTGTCTTCCTTGGACAGGTTTGCCCACAAATTAGTTCAAACACAGCATTGGTTTGGCCATGAAAGAGCTCTGAAACATGAAGACAGCTTTGGCAAGAGCCAAGCACTTTACCCAGCTCTGCAACACAATCACCTCAAGGGCCCCCCACCATCCCTCTGGGGCATAGCTGAACAGGCAAGCAAAAAAAAATGCTGAAGGAGTCTCGGATCTACTCAGCAAATGGCAGGGGTTGCTAGGTCTCCAGTTTCTTGTTAGGTTTTCCTGAAAAGCCTCTCCACACACATACATATCCTTCTCTTTTAGTCTTCCTTAAAAAGGGATGGTGAGAATAGATGAAAAGGACTGGAAAAACACTAGTGGAAGCAAGACCAAAAAAAACACAGGAGGGCAGGCATGCAGCAAGTATCAAGTACCCTGGGCAGATACTCTCTGAATAATTGAAATTTTCCAAGTTCCTTTTATCTGTCACAGGTGTTTAACAGGGATCAAGCTCATATGGGCAGGTGCCTGCAAGTGACTTGCAGTGGCTTAGAGGTCATGATATAGAAAAGTGGCTTTATCCCTCTTGTACAGAGAAGTGGAGCACAAGGCTGCCCCTCTTTTTAGGGAGGAGTAAGGAGATGGGTTTCCTACAGTTGATCATATCCTGATATTTTCATAAATCGGTATATTTTTTTCTATTACATAGTTCTAAAAATACAGCCCTAAGGTAATTTCACTAGTGTAAAATAAGGGACCACCCTCCCATACAGGATTTCAACAAAGGTGGTTTTAAAACTTCAGAGCTATCCTGAAAGCAAGCTAATGGGTAGGGGGTTGGACTTCAGAAAAAAGTTTCCTCCCCATATCCTGCTATTTTTTATTAAACAAACAAACAAACAAACAACCCACAAGGGGATTTGGGGTAATTAGCATCCATTTTTACCTACTAGAGGTTACTTACTGCAATCACCATCAAATCCATAAAGCCTACACAAGAGAATTTAAAAAAAAAAAGCTGGATGGTACATGCCTTTGTAAACACCAAGGCAAGAGCTGCTATATCTGAAAAGCTCTTGTGGTCACCAAGACTCTAAAGGTGCCCCACCAATTGCCCTGGTTTGTGTGATGTCTCCTTTCTTCACGGTATTTGTATACAGACAAGTGCTTTAATCACTGTCCAGCATTAAAGGCAGAAAAAAGCCACAGTAAATGGCCAAAGAGGGATAGGCCAGCTGCCTGGGTTTCCTCTCCTGTGGGGAGTGTGGCTCTTACCCACACCAAATGCTTCCTATAGCTGCAGAGCTCAGCTCAAGTTTCCTTGGACATCCTGCATATTCTCAGCAATCACCCCCACAGGAATATGCAACTGCAGGCTCTCATCCTAGCCTAGAACCATTAGGACTTACTCCTTTCTCTAGATTATTAAATGACTACTACACCTCATCCTTGAAAGACTAGAGTTGTGCATGCAGCTTTACAGACAAAGAACCTATGACAAGTTAAAAAAAAAAAATCTTCATATTAGCACAAAGAACAGCAAGGAGGAATGTGTTGATACTTGATAGTAAACAGCGTGGGAGATGAGAATATATATTTATAAATATAGTCACTAGGGCCAGGTGGCTGGCTGGCCTGACCAATCAGCCAGGAGCCAAAGTTAGAATGGAGTTGAACATGTAGTTCTAGCTTCTGTTCACTTCTGTGTCTGCTAAGTGGCAGGTTGAACAAGAATTTATGGATGCTTTCATTTCATTAATGTCTAGTTTACTTGCGTTTGTCATTTTTCCAATCAATTTCTCCATCAAGCCCTTACACACTAGAACAGGGGTCAGCAACTTATGACTGGGGGTGAGGGGTGCACTTCAGCAGTGTTTGATGGCAGGAGACTTTCCAATGTTGGCTTGCCATGGGCCCAAGTTGGGTCATTCTGGCTTGCTGCCTGAAAAAGGTGCCGAGTGCCACACTAGAACAATGATGCAATGTTTGGACTGCAGTCCGATAAACACAGTGTCATTCGTTTATCAATGACACCAGTGCATTGAACCATTTCAGGATGACATTTTAATTGATTTTAGAATTTCTAAAACCAAGATTTACAGCTACATTTTGTCATCCAGTTTAGGAACATGGAAGTTTCCATGCTCGACTATACCAGTGATTCATCCAGACCAGTCTTAGAAAAACAAGAACAAAAAAAACCCAGAACAAAACGTAGTTTGACTGTTAAACAAACATATAAGGTTAGCAGCACCTTGAGAGAATTGTTTCTCCTCTATCCCTCACAGAAAGGCATTTGAAACACTTTAAATGAAGGATGCTAAAATGTAGTAGCTCCAAGTTAAAAGACAAACAAAGACAACCAAGCAAAAAACTTCACCCGCCCCAGAGC